TTACAAAAATTAACCTTTTTAATTAGAATAAATTTATTGAAATATAATTAATTCTTTTTTAATTATCCTCTAGATAAAAAAATTATTTTTCTTCTTCCAACATTTTTTTTCAAAAAAAATTTTTCCAAATTTTTTTCTAGAGCATAATTAAAAAATAGAAAAATTTAAATAAATTTATTTTAAAGAAAAATATATGATTAATTAGAAATAAATATATATTAATTTGTTATTAATAAAAAATAAACATTTTTTCTATTTCATTCAAAATTGTTGCATAATCACCTTTAATGAAATATAAACTCTTTGTGTGTGTTAATTCGGAAATTTTTGCGGGAAATATTTAACCCAAATATTTTAGCAAAAGACGTGTATATCATTAATTTCACTTAAAAGAGAGTTAAAGTATATCAATCATTTTACCTTTTTAATTTATATTTTCTGGATCATTTAATTATTTAAACAAAACAAAATTAAATATATAAATGAACACAGAATTTAAATATTCTCTAAAGTAAATAACTTTACAGTTGATCACCTCGTTATACCAAGGGAAAAGTATTTAAAATTGAGGTTATTTTAAAATATTTTTGAAAATAAATAATTTCTAAAATAAAATCTAAAAATTTAATTTTGAGGTTAATTTTCTTTTTTAATTATTTATTTCTTATTAAAATATTTAAATTAGATTTTCTAAATAATTTTAAAAAACAAAAAAATTATTAGAGATAAAATAAGATAAAATATTTAAAAAAAAAGATGAATAATTGAAAATTAAAAAGGGAAAAATAATAAAAGTGGTTTTGATAGGCGACGTTTCTCGCGCATTAAAAAAAGAAAATAAAAAGTGGCACTAAATTAATAAATATTGCGCAAATGAATGGAACGGAGAGGGGAAAAATAAAAAAGGAGAGGAGTGATTGACCGGTTAATTTTAAGAATATTTATTTTTCAATTAATTTTAAATTGACAAAAAAATAATAGAGAAGGGAGGGGGGGGGGGGGAGAGAGAAAGTTTAAAAAAAGGGGGAGGGGTTAGCGAATAATGAAGAAAAAAAAAGATTTTTAACCCAAATATAAATTTACTTCTCCCGCAATTCGTTTAATATAGAGAGGGAATAAAATAAATAAAAATTAATTGAAGGTTAAAAAGAGGTGAGAGAATTGACAGTTTTTATTTAATCGTTTTAAAGGGCTTAAAAATAATTTAAGTAATAATTTTGTAACAATTGATACAGTTATTTTTTTAAATTAAAATATTTTCATTTTTTAACACTAAAAGAAAACAAATGTCAAATTATTTAAATTATATATATGATAGCTAAAATTCTTTTCATAGATTAAATTTGATCATAAATTGTTTCCTTATCCAATTTCTAATCCCTTAAAGATTTTTGAAATAACTGTGAAATTAGAAAATATTTCTGAAACTAGTTACATTTGATCTCGTTATTGTATTATACTTTATTGATGCTGAAAGTATCTTATTTATATAAAAATTTGAAGGGTTTTTATACATCTCCCCCTTATACATCTCTACTCAATGTCCAAATAAATTTAAAAAATTTAGACTAAATTAAATTATATATACATGACTGGTATATTATAACGAGATTTAACTTAATTTAAAAAGTGTCTACAATATTTTTAAATTGACTCTAATTTCTTTAAAAAATTTTTATTTTTTTTATTTAAAGAAAAACAAGGTTTATAGGTAATTGGGACTTATTTAGTTTTTTAAAATTTATTTTAATTTGTTTATTTTAACATACGTATTTAATTATTTGATAAAAAATTAAAAAAAAATTATTTTGGTTTTTAAAAGTTTTTTTCTGTTTAAAGTCTTCAATTAATTTATTTTTATTTTTCAAAAAACTTTTTTTTATTTTCCCTTTTTTGATGTTTCCTTTCACTTAATTGGAGGTCACAAATCTTCTTTAATTAAGACACAAATATATATTAATAGCCACAAATTGTGTGCGGATTAATTGGATTAATTTGAAGGTATCACTTTTATTTATTTATTTTTATTTATTATGTCAAAGCGGATTAAAATTAAAAAGAAAAGGAAAATGCGGGGAATGCAACACTAAACTAAAATTTTTTTACAATTATTTTGGGAGGTAATTGAAAGACGGGAAAAGTAAACGATGAAAAACAAATTTTAAATAAAAAAATTATTTTACAAAAATAGGTAGGCAATTTCATAAAAATATGCAGATATAAATTAATTTTTGTTATAATTTCAATAGATAATGATAGTTAGGAATGTCCTATTCGGAAAATTTTTGTTAGCGAATACATTGTTAGTACGAACACCCAACAGCTTTCTTTCTAATTATTAGATGCAATAGATGATTCAACTTTAAAATCAGTAAATCTAATTCTTTAAATACCTTCTCTAAAACAAGTTAATGATAATAAAAAATTTTCTTCTTTCAATAGTTACTAGATCGGATTTTGATAAATTGATCAAAGTGATATTTGGTGATTCATTGTTTTTGTAGAAAAAAAAACAATTTAAAGTTTGTATTTATTAGTTTTTGATAAATTTAATTGAGACTGTGACTCATAAAATAAAATTTAAATTAATTTAATTAATTTGAAATGAAATTAAAAAAAAGTTTAGAGATTCTTAGCTTGCATTCTGTCAGAGATACCTATTAAAAGTAAGATTTACTTGCTGTTATAACGAAAAAAGAATATCCTATTATATTTGACAACTTCACATATATTTTTGATTTTAAAAATATTCTTTAAAATTTTCTCGGATTTTTCTTTCAATTTTATTTATTCAAAAATACATTTTCCTTTTGAAATCCTCTTGATTTACTTTCCTTAAAGAAATTAAAATTGTACATAATACAAATATTTGTTCAAAAGTGAATAATTTTCAATAAAAGGGCAATTGAATAAATAAATATTTCTCTCAATTAAGTATTGAAACATTTATTTATTTTTATTATTCAAGTGTTAGAGAAGGAAGTGAAATGAAAAATACAAAAATAAATATATTAAATTTTAAATATTTTATGAGATTTTTAATTTTTTTTAAATTTGTAGAAAACTGAAAAAAGGGATAACACAAAAAATACTTAAATTTAAATGAACGTCTTTAAATTATTATTTAAAAGAAATAATTATTTTTATTTTTAAATTAAATTAATTTATTTACATATTTATTTTTATTAAAATTCCCACGATTGTCATCGTCCAAATTCTTATCATTTTGCAACAAATATTTTTAAAAGCATGGGAAATGTGTTAAAATTCCGATTATTTAATAATTAAGAAATTAATTTTAAAAAATTATTGGAAAATTAATTTTATTTTAGATAAGTAAATAAAATTTTTTGATGAAAGTTATAGTAAATCTCGAACTAAAAAGAATTTAAAAACCTTGCACTTGAAAGCATCAAAAAAATATTTATTTCATTAGCTATAGATGAAAAATATTCAGCTGACCAAAACTAACTTTCAATGTTTTTTCTTCCGAATTTCGCTAAATTTTTGAAAACTTTAAAAATATTTCTTTTATTAAAAATTATTTTTAGTTAAATTTAATAGAAGGAACTTTATTGAAAAATAAATAATTTAATAAAATAAAAGCATTAATCACACTTTTTTAATTTAATTTTCATCAAAATTTCTCGCGCATCTTCTCCTTTTCTTTCTTTTTTTGACAATTTTTAATAAATTATTTTTTAATTTCTCTCTCTTTTATTTTTAAATTTCATCATCATCTCCCTTCAATTGCGGGTTTTTATTAATCTTTTTAGCGGATCTTTTTTATTATGAATGACTGTCCTCATTTTTTTGTTTTTAAATTTTAATAATTATTTTTTTTGTTTTTTGAATGATTAAAAAATAAAAGTTTATAGTAATTTTAATGAAAATAAATATAATTTAAATAGTAAATTATTTAATTTTTAAGGAACTTTATTGGGGAAATTGTTGTTATTGACATATAAACTTCAATTGCCAGACTTTTACAAATTCCGAGAGATTAATTAGAGCATTAAATTAATTCTCGATTTATTTAAATAAATATAGGTATCGTTCTATAAAGTGTAAATAAATTAAATAAATTTAATGACATGTTAAATTAACCGTAAAAATAACAAAATAAACATTTTACATTTAAATTAAATATAAATTTAAATTATTTGAAAAAATATTTTTTTGTATTTTTTAATTCAAAAATTTATTTTTTAAGCAATTTATAAATTAGATAACCTTGAAAAATATTAACGTAAAAAATAATTAATTTTAAAAAGCGCCTTTGAGTAAAGATGAGTGCGCGAAAACAGATCTCTTTTAATAATAGTTATAATTTTTTCTGTCATCAATCTTTTAATTAAATAAAAAATAAAAAAGAATTGTTTATTTTAGAAAGTTTTAATTTAAAAATAATTTGAAATTAGGGACTTTTATTGTAAATAAAATTTTTAAAATTTGTTGACCACTGGTTGTTGGGAGAGCCTCCCCGGGCGATATACATATTTACAAAATAAAATGAAAACAAAATTTTAGATAAAAATAAAAATTAAATTTTAATTTAAAACTTTAATAGGCAAACAAGAAATTAAAATACACGGCTAACTTTTTTTAAAATGCCAAATTTAAATTTAAAAAAGGGAAGAGGAAAAGGGCATTCTCGAGGAGTGTCTGCCCTTCTAAAGAGACGTCTAGAATTTTCCTTTGTCTTTAAAATTTTTTAAATTTTAACTTCATTGTCTAGAAAATTAAAGTCACATTTTCCTTTATAAAACTTCAATGGCATTAAAGAAGTCTAGACAGGGCGGAGAAGCTGCCTCTTCGCCAGGATTCTTTCCAGAATAAATTCCTGAGGAAAATTAAAGAATATTGTCAGTCTATTGAAATTAATTTTTATTTTAATTTTTAATTACCCTACAAACATGTTTAAAGGAAGTTATTTATATATAAATTTTTAAGAAAATAATTTTTTTTATAAATTTTTTTTTATTTTTTCAGAATAAAATATGAAAAACAAAATTTTAATTTGTTTTTTGTTATTGACAACGATTTTTGTTTTAATTCATGGAATCGGGAATACTAAAATTGAGACTAACAATTCTGAAGTTAAATTAGAAAGTCCAAAACAAAAACCGTTAATTCCAAAAAATTCAACTCACAAAAATGTCAAGAATTCCCAAACAAAAGCCTCAGCAAAAGTAAAGCCAGAAGAAGAAAGAAGCCAAACAGAAATAGAAAAAAAAGAAATCAAACAGAAATCTGATTCGAAAAGTAAAGCAGGCGTGAATATGTCGGACTTAAAACGGGTATTGTCTGCTGGAGTACTCTCTTATAAAGCAAAAGGAAGAAATTCTGAGAATTTCTGGAATGAATTGAATGTAGATAAAAGTAAATAAATTTATTTATTTTTAATTTTTAAATATTATATAAGTAATTATTTTTCTAAAATAAAAAATAAGTAAAAAATAAGAATCCATTTTTCCATTAAAAGCTTTTGTATTTATTTACACAGTAATCTTAAATATTGTTGTAAAACAGGGTTACGATTCCTACTTTTTAAAAAGTATTCTACTTTTAAATCGACCTCCATGCTTACGAAATTGAATTTATACTTTTTTGAAAGTATATACTTTTTTTTGAATGAAAATGAAATTGGGGAAGGGATTGGGCAAAAAAGTGAATTTTTTTGGCCTACGGCCTTTGAAATTCTCAAAATTTTCGCCTGCGGCGCTGAATAAGGAAGAAATTTAGCTTCTTGGGTTCAAATTTCAAAAAATTTTCGCCTGCGGCGCAAAAAATGGAAAAAATCTGGCTTAAGGACCTCCAAAATTTTCAAAATTTTCGCCTGCGGCGCAAAAAATGGAAAAAATCTGGCTTAAGGACTTCCAAAATTCTCTAAATTTTCGCCTACGGCGCAAAAAATGGAAAAAATCTGGCTTAAGGACTTCCAAAATTCTCTAAATTTTCGCCTACGGCGCAAAAAATGGAAAAAATCTGGCTTAAGGACTTCCAAAATTCTCTAAATTTTCGCCTACGGCGCAAAAAATGGAAAAAATCTGGCTTAAGGACTTCCAAAATTCTCTAAATTTTCGCCTACGGCGCAAAAAATAGATTTTTTGGCGCCTTCGGCGCCAAAAAATGTGCATTGAAATTAACAAAATGCTCATTTGAAACAAGAAATTATTAGAAAAGATTCATTTAGGAGGGAAATATGAAAGATTTGAGGACGAATAAATATTTTCTAATTTAATTTTGAGACTACTTTTTTTTCGCAAATTTTCTCCCTATATACTTTTTTATCGAGATTTTGATACTTTTGAGTGGTATTTTGTCGATCGTAACCCTGTTGTAAAATCAAACATTAAAATGATAGAATTTCAAAATCAAATATTCCAAGCTTCGGAGTCGGGTCGAATCAAGGAAAGCGAAAATTTTTCCCCTTGATTGAGAAAAGAATAGGATAGAATGAAGAAAAGAGTAGATACATATGTGCATTAGGCAAAGTTTCTACCAACCAGGGATGGGACGGGTTGAGAAAAAAGTCGGGTCGGGGTTTGAAAAAGAAAATTTTTCGGGTCGGGTTTGGGTATCTGATCGAAAAAACACGTTCTACCGTCCCATCCCTGCTTCCAGCCTATTTGTCTTTAAATATCTCGACTCTAATAAATAAGGCTAAAATAACAGACATATAAACTGCCTTGTTTTTATCGTTTTAATTATTTTAATAAATATTTTTAATTTTAAGATGCTAGCGTCGAACTAATTGAAATAATGGCAAATAATTTAAAAAGCGGTCCAGAACTGTCAAGCGACAATAAAATGTTGATCCAAAAATCAGCAAAACCCGAAGAAAATTCCAAATCAATAAAAAATAAAGATATAAATATTCTTTTTATTGAAAATTTAAAAAAGTTTATTAAAGATGAACAAAAAATTGAAATAAAAAAAGAAATGCTAGAAAAAATAAAAAAAGATTTAAAAAATAGATCTGAAACAAAAATTGAAAACATAAAAATTTTAATTGAAAAATTTAATAAATTAAAAATAACAAAAAATGAAGAGGTTGAAGAGGCTAAAGAATTGGCAGAAAATGGATGGGATGAGTTAAAAAATAAAATTATATATAGAATGGAGGAACTATCTGTTGAAATTTATGAAGATTATAGAAATGAAATTATTAAAGAAATTTATAAATATTCGGATTTGCAAAGTGAAAAAGAAAAAAAGGTTTTGAAATATTTCCTTTAAATTAAAAAAAAATTATTTAATATAATTGGGGTTGTGGATAATAACATGGGATAAAACAGAGTTATCTGTTTGTTTACTTGTGTTAAACAAAATTAAATTGTAAAAAAGTTCAAGTAAAATTCATAAGTTCCCTCCTAATCACAAAATAAAACAAAGTATTCAGGTGATATAAACAGGCAATGACCAGTACCTTTAACTATTCCTAATTTAACCAAAAAATCAACTAAATATTTTTGTAAAGCATATAGCTATTTAATTCCTAATCATCAGTCCGGTCTACTGAAGATGCTGGATCGCTCCCAGCCGCCGATTAATCTTTTGCTCTAGCTTAAGGAGAGAAATAGCTATAGCCCAGCTGCTTTACTTTTTAAAAAATTATTTTCAGATAAATAGCTTAAAAATTTTTTACAAAAATAGTAAATCCCAATTGGAAACAGAAAAAGAGGAATTAAAAAAATATATATTAACAATTGAAGAAAAACAAAATTTGGAAAACGTAATGAAAGCAGAAGAAAATTTTACAGAAATAATTTCTAAAGCCCAAAAAATAGTTAATATAAAACCAACACGAAAACAAAAAGAAGGAAAGGAGGAAGAAAATAAGGAAGAAACTAAACATGAAAAAAAGAAAGAATCTTTGATGAAAATTGTTAGAACAAAATCAGTTGATAGCCTCGCTACAATGGCAAAAGAAATTAAAAATACAACAAAAAATAAAGCAGAATTAGAAATAGAAGAATTATTAAAAAATTGTGGAAATTTGGAGAAAAAATGGGATGAAATTAAAAATATTGGAACTTCTATAGATTTATTTAATGAAAAAATATTTGATTTGGAAGATGAAATTAAAAGGATTATTAATGAAATTAAAGCTGATAAATATTTTAAAGAAGGAGAAACAATAATTTCTGAGGAAAAGAAAGGGGAAAAACATTTAAATAAAGAAGAATTGAAAGAAAAACAATTGGAAGAATTTAAGAAAAAGTTTAAAAAATTGAGAATATTTAATGAAAATAAAGTTGAATTAAAAGATGAATATACCGAATTAGAAGAGAAATTTCTAGCAGATAAAAGTAGAATTTTGTTAAATATTTTTTTAGGATAATATACATATTTATGGGGTCATTAGGGGTCATTAATTATCCATTCAATATCCCACAGTCAATTTATTCGGAAAACTTTGTTCTCAAAATCCCTTGTTTACAAATAAATTTCTGAATATCCGGAAGAGGAAAAGATAGGATAACCGAGAGTTTCGGCAACTAAATTTACAAATAATTTTTTAAAAACAATTTTCAGATCCATTAATTGATGAATTGAAACCAATTCTTAACCAAATTCGAAATAAAGCAGCAATTATATATTTAATATATAAATTAGAGGAAATAGAAAATGTTAAAAATGATGAAAAAAATGTTAAAATATTTACAAAAGAATTTTTAGAAAAAATTGAAAGAAAAGCTTTAGAACAAATGAAAATATTTAATGGTGGCCAACAAGAAGAGTTAAATTTAACAACAATTGAATTTAGATTATCGGTAATTATTTAATTATTTTATTTAATTTTTTAAATTAAAAATTAATTTTTAGACTTTTAATGTTTTAATTGGACATGCAAAAGGAAAAATATTTTTCGAAAATAAATTACTTGGAAATAATATTAAATTCATGGAGGCATCAATTGGAAATTTATTTAATGGAATGTTTTAAATATTTCAAATTATTTTTTTAAAAATAATTTATTGTAAAAACAAATGTAAACAAACGAAAAAAATTTTTATCTTCACAAAACTTTTTTAATTAAAACAAATTTAAAATAAAAATTAAATTTTTATTTTAAATTTGTTGTAAATTTTATTGTAAATTTTTTTTAATTTTTGTAAATTTAAAAATGTATAAAAAATGTTTTCTTTTTTTTTGTTTATAACTTCTTAGATATTGTTGAGATTTTATTTTCTATAAAACAAACAAAAAATTAGTTTTAAATAAAAAATTTTTATTGAAAATTAGAAATTAAGAAAATTTTTATGAAGTCTTAAAATATCTAATAATTTATATCTCCATCCACAAAAGGTGAAAATTTTAAAATTCGAAAAAAGACAACGCTTGAAGGTTGTGTCAAACACTAAACTTAACACGATACAGCCTGGAACTAATTTGTTTAAATACGCGATGCATAAACTAACTTTACTTTAAAGTTTTACAATTTTCCTAGAGAGTGTCAAACGTGATCTACGTGATTAATAATGTCTCTGAACCCCTGTAATTTCATGACGGGATGCGGATTATTTTGCTAAACGGGTTATTTTTTAGGGTTATTTTTTAAAAATTTGAGTTAGAGAATTTAAAGTTATGTAATCTTGGGCTATAATAAAAATAAAGAAATTTTAATTATTAATAAAAATATTATTAAAAATCATCAAAATATACACAAAAAATAATTTAAATTATTTTTATGTAAAAAGTAGAGATCAAATAAATTAATTTAAACAACAAATATTTGGAGATAAAAAATTAATTTATATACCGTATTTCCTATATTAGAGCCCCACTCTTTGTTAGAGCCCCACCCTCTAATACAGCCCCACTTTGGAGGATAGTTGAAAAATAGAGCCCCACCCTCAATTAGAGCCCCACCCCAAATACAGCCCCACCTAAAAAATATTGGAGGAAAAAATATCAGAATAACTTTTAAGATGTATGTATTAAGAGAGTTAAGGAAATAAAGGGGGATATCTATGATTTCGTGATCATTGAGGAGGAGGGATCATGGGGATTAGGGATGAAAATGAGGGATTAATCCCGTTATCCGTCAAAATACTCTAATATCGCCTATATTCCTCTAAATTCCTCCTATTACCTCCAAAATCTAATCATTTTATAAAGGGTTGCAATCGTGTTAGGCACTTGATGATAATTCGCGAGATTATTAGAGATCTATTAGATATCTAATCAGTGATATCTAACCAAAATTTCTCTGGAACCGATTTCAGTTACGTAACTGCTATTTGAATTTCTTCAGTTCCAGTTCTGGAACCTGTTCCAAAGCTTTATCAAACAAATCCCTTCATATGCCTCCTAATACCCCTAGTCCAGAATATCCCTCATAATCCCTCTAAATCTCTCAATATAAACTTAATCCTCTGATATTCCCCATAATCCCTTAAAATCCATTTTTATCCCTCTAATCCATCAATGTCAAATAAAAGTTCCATAATATTTCCTTTAATCCGTCCAAATCTACCCATATTTAATAATTAATCTTACTCTCATTGAACTATTGGGACTATTTTGTAATTCATTGCTTAAAAAGTTTTGGTTTTTCTTGAAAAATCGAAAAATATAGATTCTCTTTCGATATTTTGCGGCTTTATCGACCAAACCCTCCGACTTATCTCTAGTTGCAATGGATATAATAAATGGGATTCTATCTCAAAAGAGGGTTGAAAAATAGAGCCCCACCCTCAATTAGAGCCCCACCCTTTAATACAGCCCCACCTTGGAGGATAGTTGAAAATTAGAGCCCCATGGGGCTCTAATATAGGAAATACGGTATTTTCCTTGTCTTTCATAAAATTTTACATTGAAGTTTCACGTGTAAATTCATCTCTTCTATTAATATTCTTATTTTTTGGGAATAGTGAAGGTCTTAAAATTTTATAGAAATTTTATAAAAAATAATTTTTAATTATGCCAAAACACAATTAGTCTTCAAAATCCTTAGATAAATTAAAGATTTACCTAATTTCAATATTAATATATTCCTCCTTATTTGTTGAGGGTATATTGTAATTCTCTTTTCTTCCCTTATTCCTTTCTCGTTTAGTCAAATTGTTTGTTGTTAATTTGTTAAACTTCTTAAATAATTAGAAAATATTTTTTAATTTATTTTTATTTATTCACCTCAATAGATAAATAATTTTGTTTATCATTTTTCTCCATCTTTAGTGTTGAATTTGAACTAAAATTTTTATTCCGACATTTTTTAGGTTTCTTAAAAGTTGAAGGATTATTTGTTGAATTGTTTCTTTTAAAATTATTATTTTTTAAATAAATTTTCGGAATATAAACTTACAAACATTCAAAGTATTTTTCACTATTTGTGGAGGAAGTAAAAGGAGAAGAATTACTACATTGAGTAGAAGAAGCAAATGTTGGGGTTGTTGTTAAAGTATTAGTATCTCTGTATAAATTTTATATAGCATTTACTAGATTAATTACCCTCCTTCGAATAATTACTACAACTAACAATAACTACCTTCCATTGAATGACTCCCCCCTCCTCAAGACGTTGCAAAAATAAGTATTTTGAGTAATTAATCGAGTAAATACATTAACCTATACATTTAGGAAAAATTGCCTCGAAGCTAGCCTTGGAAATTATATCAAAGCGAGTGGTCCCAGTAGCCCGACAATCTTAACTTTTTAAGAGAATAATTCAAAAAAGGACAATTTTAAAGCATGATTTTGGAATGCTAATTAATCAATCATTTACAAACATAGACGGAAAGCAACATTCATTAATTTGTTGATCATCTTCAGGTAATTGTGCATAATAACTACTTTCCCCAGCATTTCCTTCCTTATTAGAACAACATTCACCATAATAATGTCCAGAATTATTAGAAGAGTTACTTGAAGGGCTTCCAAAACTTTCGGAAAAACTTTCATTCCCTTCCATAGGTTTTTGTTGTAATTGTTGTTGTTGCCTCATTTGTATTAATTGTTGACTACTTCTAATAGAATCTCTTACAAATTGTTTTCTTCGAGTAAATTGCCTGTCTTTTGTATTTGATTTACAAAATGCACATATGATGAGTAAAAAAATGCCAATAAAAAATAAAATTATTGAGATCGAAACAAGTAAAAAATCAGCTCGCCATAAAAGAGGTTCTTGATAGGGCCCAGTTCCTTTAATATAAAAATAATATAAGCTTATAAACCAGGGTTACGATTCCTACTTTTTTAAAAGTATTCTACTTTTAAATCGACCTCCATGCTTACGAAATTGAATTTATACTTTTTTGAAAGTATCTACTTTTAAATCAACATTTTGAATTGAAAATGAAATTGGGGTAGAGATTGGGCAAAAAAGTGAATTTTTTGGCCTACGGCCTTCGAAATTCTCAAAATTTTCGCCTGCGGCGCTAAAAAAGAAAGAAATCTAGCTTCTTGGGCTCCAAAATTCTCAAAATTTTCGCCTGCGGCGCAAGAAATGGAAGAAATTTGGCTTAAGGACTTCCAAAATTCTCAAAATTTTCGCCTGCGGCGCAAAAAATAGATTTTTTGGCACCTTCGGCGCCACAAAAGGTGCATTGAAATTGACAAAAATGCTCAGTTGAAACAAGAAATTATTAGAAAAGATTCATTTAGGAGAGAAATATAAAAGATTTGAGCACGAATAAATATTTTCTGATTTAATTTTGAGACTACTTTTTTTTTGCAAATTTTCTCCCTATATACTTTTTAATCAAGATTTTGATACTTTTGAGTGGCATTTTGTCGATCGTAACCCTGTTATAAACAATTAAAGATTTTGATAGACAATTAACTTCATTTAAATAAATATAACACCAAAGGACTTCAACTAAATACATAATTAATTCACCTCGTTCACAAACATAAGGTAATAAATTATGACAATTCTGCTCTCCAATACTGGCTGTTCTAGAACTCATCCATCCACACTGGTTTGAAGGAATTGTTAAACTTGCAATCCAAATCGGAATGTCATAAGCAAACTATTAAAAAAATATTTTTAAATTTAACTTAAAAATTTTACTCCAAAAGAGTTAATTCTTTCCAATTCTGTAATATATAATTGACTTAAAATATCTATTTTTGCAGCAAGTTCTTTTTGACGAGGATCTCCAGTTTGCATTATAGGCAAAAATGCATCCAAATATTGACAGGTTTGGACAGCATCAGAATATGTAGATGCTGCTCCAATAAAAATAAAGCAGGATTTAAACTCTTCCCTGCCAACCAGAAACCATCCAGCTGGGCAGTCTCCTATAAATAAAAAATCCACTCCCTAAATCTTCAATATATTATTAAAAATACCTTCAATAAGGGAGGTATTCGATTCCAACACAGGGTCATAATCTACACGTATAAGCAGTGGATCATCATGTTGGTCGCGTATTTTACCCGCAGCCGTTCCAATAGTGCCTGGTGGACCCCAATAATTATATCTTGCATTTATTGAAGAAATATCGAATTGAGGACTTTCATGTTGAGTAGTAACCAATTCAAAATCATTTAAAGGGTTGTCGAATAAATTTCGGGAATAAAGTTGGTGTACAGAGCCAGAAAGAATTGTAGAACGATAACGACTGCTTTCAGCACCAATATGAGTCCACCAGTCAAAACTAACACCTTTTTGGCTGAGAACCTGATAGTAAAGATTATGAACGTTTTGGAAAATTTTTTATATTTGACTTTAGTAAATATTAGGGCTTGGCCCGATATAAAGAATTTATCCACTAAAATGTCGGATATATGTAAAAATTTTATTGACACATGCATAAAATGTCGTTAGGTAAAATCATTCTTATATTTTATTGGCTATAGAATAACAGTAAGAACTTAAACTAATAGGAAGTTTTGATCCAGTTTAACTTCCCCTATTTCCAAAATAAATTAAATAAGCCATTTTAGAGTATTTTACTTGTCTTTTAGGCCTTCTTTCCACAAACTCATCCAGTTCGTTTCCATCATGAAATCCATAACGTTCAATGTAAGGATTTCCATGCCCTAATGCTAAATTATCTTTAAGATAATTATTTTGGAAATAAAGTTCTGTCGCAGTTTCTTCTCTCAATTCTCCATTTAATCTACAAGTATCTAAAATATGCCAGCCAACATTTTTATTAATTATATTGTGAGAGAAATTGGCCGAAACACCGTTTAAAAAAACCTAAAATATAATTTATTAAAAAATTAAAAATAATTATTTTTGCCGTGTCAGCATATAGAGCATAATTTAGACTAATTAAATTTGCAAGAAAATCAACTTTTTGTAATCCATTTCCAATAAATGTTAAAATACTTGAATTTGAATTCATTAAAATGGCATTATTTTTAATAACTGCTCTTAAACGGGACATTGAACTTGAACTTTTAGCAGAAATAAAAAGTCCTCCACGGCCATAACGAATTGAATTGGCACGGAAGAAAAAAAGCTGTCAAATAAAAATTTTATTGAATTTATAACTAAATTTCCCGGAACTATTAAGGAAAATTTATTGAGGAGAGAATCTGAGGAGAGGTTCTCTCTATCATAGATCTCTCTCTCATCTGAGGAGGCTAATTATCAAAAAATGATTGGATACTTTACTAAGAAAAAAATTTGTCGAAACACCTTTTAGATGCCCTAATCGGTCCAAAAAGATCGTACCTACAATGAGGGATACTTTAGATTGGGGATATCGCTTGGGAAGTCTGCCTAGTGTTAGTAAAACGTATGTATCATAAATCGAGGTGTATCCAATTCTTGGGGTATCTGAAAATAAGGTTCAAGAATAATCACCAAAGTATTATGTACATCCATATTAACAGCTGCAGTTGAAGTAGAAATATTTCCATAAAGATGATATCCATTTCTATCAATAGCACATTGTTCAATAATTACATTAGGTCCAATCTCTCCCAAATTTTTGTAATTAATAGCCCCTCTGTCATTATTTAATATACGAGAAGCACGAATAGCAACTTCATCAACACCTTTACGAGGCAAAGGAACAGCGGGAAGAGTGGCAATTTCTGCCAAAAATCCGAATTCTCCATCGGCAGCTGTTGCCCTGAGATGAATTGAAATAATTGAGGACTGAGTTGTGATACTGCCAGATTCGTCAAAATTCGATAAATAATTAAATGAACGTAAAAGGGAAGATGAAGAAAAAGATGATCCAGAATAAATAGACAATTTGTCTGAACGAGGGATTCCAACAGGTCCAGAGTAGAAATTTGCCTTAATATTATTTAAAAAATAATTAAAGTATTATTAATTAAAGTATTAAAAACTAAGGAAAAATAAAGTCTCTAGAAAAATTTAAAAAAAGGAAGAAAAATTAATCACACTCACTTGTAAAAATCTAAAACCAAGATTCCTTCCATCAACAGATTTAAATATTTTAACACAATCAACAGCAAAAGAGTCATATTTGTAAAAAAGAATTAATCTAGTTTTTATTTTAATTTCTTTTCCGGAAGAACAAATATCCAAAAATCCTGGAATTTGATATGGAATATTAAGAGGGCCTTTAGGGATAAAATGTTGAGATTGAAGAATTGAAAGTGAAGGCATTCCTCTATTTGGTCTGCCTGAATAATGGTGAGTAGTGGTAGAATGTAGAAGACCGGCCGAGAGAATAGTTAAGCCTATTCCATGATTGCAAGAGATATTTAATCGAGTAAGTAATAAATTGCCGCAAGGCGGGAGTAATACTTGCATTGCACCCATTGATGAGTTGGTAACGTTGACATTCTCCATAATAGGGCATCTAAGTATAAGGTAGAATTTTGATAAATCAGTAAAATATCGTGGAGATATTGAAGGAAAAAATTAATTCACCTCTGTATGACTTGAAGTGCAGCCTCAAAGAACGAATTATTGTGTGCTCTACCTCCCCCTACCAACTCAACATGCCTCAAAATAGAACGATCCCCTCCACTTCCAATTTCCTTTTCATAACCATTATTCCCCTCCTCCTTCTTCTCCTTTTCCTCCCCAATATCAAGTCCATATCTAGCAAAAGTAATACCACCCCAATGTCCAATAAATTCATTTGAGAGGGAAGAATCCTGGCCACAATGAATATAATTAAAATGTTCATTATCCATACATTGCCAATCTGTGAGGAGAGCGGTTAAACGGAGAGCTGAAGAAAATAAAAATTTAAATGAGAAGATTTAACTAGAATTTTAACTGCATTGTTCTAAACGATGTTCAAACCCCCGACATTCTCTAGGTTCCATATAAGTTTTAACTATTCTGATTTTTGGATTGTATGACCATTGTGGAGTTAGCCAATGATAAGCATTTTGAGAGCTAAAGCCAAGCTCACGACAGACTACCTTGAAGTAATTATTTTTAACCTTAAACATATTAGGATTTCAGTAGTATTAGGATTTCAAAAATAAAATCTACCAAAGATGGGGAGGTATCGCTTAGTTTATCTCTGCCAAATTAACTTTTTTGTGTAATGAGAGCTTTATTGTTAGTTTACAAAATAGGTAGTAGTTCGAATTCTAAGAGTCAAAACATTTCAATTAAAACTCCACCTGCGCATTTCTTATTGTAAAATGTCTATCACAAGAAGGCACAGTCTCCCCACTTGTAGCATTGTAAAAATGAAGAAATCCTTTAAATTTTCCTTTTACACCATCTTCCATTAGAAGCACTTTCAGGTGTTGAAATTGAGCATTTTCACGTACAAGTTCAGGAAATTGACGGAAAATATCTTCACTTTGACTTGGTTTTGTTGCGAAATCAGATATAAAAGACCATACTAAATAATATCATTAATTAATTAAGATAAATTTCTCAAAAATTATTCTCCTCCTAATCCCCTTCCTCATACGTTATATAAATATTCAGACAATACACGATCAAAAAAAATAAAATTGAGGCGGAATTAGAGAATAAATGTTCAGACAAGATATGTAACATTCATTGTCAGAAAATAATTTTTCGTAAACTCCTCAAAATATACATTATGTACCATTATCTTGATTAATTGCTTTTCTCTTCCTGTAAACTTCTCGATTATTATTGTTTTGTTGTTTTAAAAACATCCATTCAATATCCAAATGCTTTGAACGCCCTCCTCTATTAAAATGTTTTGCACGGACTAAATCAAAAGGAGTAAAAATAGTAGATCTTCGACGGCGATAATTACTTCCTCTTTTCCCCTGCTGTTCTGAATATTCTGTTGTATTAATTGGTCTAAACCGAACAGGTTGCCCTTAAAATAAAATCATCAACAGTACATTATAATTATCCTTATCCTAGTTTAATACGAAAAAATTCTCCCTCTCCAAATATCAAATTATTTATACAATCATTCCAAAAAACATGCCCTTCAAAAGATAAATAATATTAACTAACAAAGAGTTCCGTCAGCAATTAAATCGCCATAAACTAAAATTCGAACATTCGGCCAGATGTGTACTTCTACATTCTTTTCTATTGTAAGAGATGCCCCAGGCATTATTGTCAAATCTCTAGTAATTCGATAGGGGCGAAAAGGCCGATAATGGTAAGGAAATGGGTACCTTAATAAATTTAGTTAGAAAATACAGTAAAGGAATCCTCAGACCATCTCTCAGGGTCCAATTCTAATTTAACGTGTCCCCAAAGCCGTCCTCTTAAATCGTGTGCTGGAGGATCAGAAGTTCCTTGTTTCGAAGCAAAATTTAATTGAGCTCTTCTATAATCCCACCAAAAATTTAAAAACAATTCTTCCGTTGTATAGAAAGGAGAAAATTGGGCAAGACTTAAAGAATTCCAATCATCAGAATCAAAAACTCTTTGACTCAATTCTGCTTCATTAGCAACACCCCACCAATTATGTGTTACATTTAAAACATCTATATCTGATGCTATTAATTGTGGTTTGCATCCAGCTACCAATTCAAAATCAAGCAAAACATTTCTGAATAAAATTAGATATTAATAAGTTATTTTATATCAGTGGGCTAGAAATTAATTTAAGAAATCGAGCAAAGAATAAATAATGAATAAATTATGCATTTAACATTATTTTTGAATTTAGATAATTCCACTAAAGAAAAGTTAATTAAACGGAGATTTTCACTAAACAGTAATTAGCCTAAGTAAACTAGAAGGCTCCCCGATATTTTGGCAAATCCTAGAGTGCGCGATAAAACCGTATTTTATTAAATAAAATTTTATTTAAACCACCTTAATCTATTAAAGTGAATTTCTACTCTTTGGGTGCCAAAAATACCAACACAATAAGAACGAGGCCACATTTCAGCATATTCATCTGATGGTCGTAGAAAACGATTAAACTATTGAATTAATTAAATTTGTATTTTTAAAAATTTCACGGATAATTTCTACTTGGAAATAATTATATTGAATAAACGCTGGAACTTCTTCAGAGAAGAGTGCTTGGCTATAAGCCTCATAACGAACTATCCAAGCACCCCAATTTGTAAAGAAGCGATTTCGTTCCCTTAAATTCAAATTAAAGTCAGAAAAAAATTAAGAATTTTGATTTTTGATAATGGTCTAGGGATCTATACAAATGTTAAATATCTGTTGAGCTTATCTATTAATTTAGGCTATATATCTGTTGGAAATAATTTAAAATTTTGTGTAATTCTAAATAATTTAATTTAAAATTCATTTAATTTCCTCACATAATTAGCTTTTTCTCCATTCCCAATAACTGAACAATACCCAAATCATTAGGAGCAAAATTGTCAGTAAAGTTGTTCGATGAAATATTTGCAAAAGTATAATAACCAGAAAGGTGTACAGCAAAATTTAAATTTGATTCAAAACGATTTTCAGTTAACTAATAATTTTTAAAAATTTATCAAATCTTTGTTTAAACAACCCAAAATGAATGTTTTTTCACAGAACGTAAATCCCATAAATCTGGTAAATGCACAAAAATAGCAGCCCCAGTATTATTTGCAAAAGTATTTGACCAAAAATTCCAATGAAAAATATTTGCAGAAGAATACTTTAAAAAATCAAAAAATAATTTTTCAAAAAATAATTCTTTTTCTACCAAATCTCTGTGTGTATCAACAATAGGTCCTTTATTATCAGTTACAGAACAATTATCAATATGCCAGGTTATCTCTGCTAGAGGAGTTCCTTTAATTACGTTATATTCAGGAGAATGTACCCACAGAACAGAGTCAATATTTCCAGTAAAATTTACTCTTTGAAACCAAAGCTTTTCTTGGGCATATCTGAAAAATTAATTTAAACATAGAACTTAAATCTTATTATTGTTCAACTGCTTAAAAATTATAGGAGGAATATCCAAATTAAAATAACCAGCTAATAATTTATTTTATCCACCCACATTCACCCACCCAACCCTCTCCTTTAATGACTCAACACCGAGGCTAAATCGGTCTTAGTATAATAAAAGCCGTATCCAAATGCTAAATAGATTTGAAAATTCAAATGATCCCTTTCATAAACTAGCAATTCTCTAATTATTTACCTATTCACAATAGCTGAATAGTCTATTAAAGTCAAATTACTGTGATGCACAGCAGAAACAGCATACTGATTTTCACTAATTATAGAATCATAAACATGCAAAAACCGATCCAGATATTCTTGATGATCAAGAAATAAAACAAGTAAAACTAATGAATATTTTCCCTTTGAACGTTTATAAGTTAATCTCATTTTAGGGCCGAAAGAGACTAATGGAAAATTAAAAGTATTGTGACGGGCACTCCATTTACTGTAGAAAAAAATTTTTTATTTAATTTGAAAATTTATTTTTTATTACTTTCCAGTTTGTCGATCTTCTAAAATGGCATCTTCATCACTTTCATTATTTGGACGATTTATTAACTGAAAATAATGTAATATTATTGCAAGGAAAGAATAATCACGCTGATAGAAAATTAAACCCAAGGAAACCCATCAAAGATAAATGTCTGGAAATAAACGTCACTCTATATAAAAAAACTTGAAACTAAACTAAATAGTATTTATAATCTGATTACCAAAGATTTTAGCTAAAATTATTCATAATATCCTGCCTGAATAACAAGTTTTGCAGGCATTCCATACTGATTACCAATAGCTTCCAATTCAATTTCAAAATTACATTGTTCATTAATAGGGCAATCCTCCGTTGGTTTTGAAACTAAAAATTTTCGTTGTTCAAGTTGTGATTCAAATAATTGAATTCTTTTTAGATGATAATTCGGTATAATAAAAATCCCATTGGCTTCAAGCTCTGGTTGCTCTCGTCTGTCTAGCCACGAAACTATATCTCTTTGAAGGGAAGTAGAAATTCTTGGTAGATAACGAACACCGGCATTTCCATTTTGTTGGATTGAAAGCTAAATGGTAAAATTAAAATTTAGTAAATTCATGAGGATATTTTGAATTAACAGAGTGAGAACTCTCTCCCTTTGCCCAGTCGTCAGTAAATACATTACAAACCACCCCTTTTTAAAAGACACCTCTCCAAACGGGCAATTAAATACCCTCAACTTACACACAAGATTTGATAATGGATTTACAAGTCAAAATATATAAATCAAAAACTTTTTCTGCTGACAATCCCATTGAGCGGACAACCATACCATTTCTTCTATTCCTAACAATATTACAATTTCTAAGTGCTGGTTTCCTAGTTAAGTCATTATATACAATATCTATTCCATCAAAATAATTATCACGAATTGTTAAACTATGAAATGTATGATAATTCCAATCAATCTGAGAATAAAAAAATTTTCTAGAAAAAAATTTTTGACTAAAAGACCTGCAATGCAGGACTTAATAAAGGTAATCGAAAGTCAAAAAGCCCAGCTCTTTGAATAATCCAGTTACTCATGGTGGATAAACCAGTGTAGCTCATAGGATTAGCAAGTAGAGAATAACGAACACCAGCCCAATAGGGAGGAGCACAACGTAAACCTTTTAAAAGTAAAAATAAAATTATATTAAATCTAAAGTTTTACAATAGCTATAGTGAAACTGATATACCTATATGATATTTTTTGATAAGAGATACGATTTATTTCTTTTTAGATACCTAATATTCGAACCTATTCCAATTTAAAAAGGAACTCGGACAACTTGAGATGAAAAATAAAATTAAGAATCGTTGATCCTTTAATTCCGCCTTAAAACTTAAGTGATCTCTTAATTAAGTCTCTTCTAAAATAATTTATAAACAACATGCCAACAACTTCTGTTGATCTACAAGAAGCCTTAACATTATGCAAATTCCCATCATGTCTACATTTTGTTAAATCAAATTCCCTTTCCTCACAACGTATATTATCCATAATTATTGGTCTTTCATCTGGTTCTGGTAAAGGAAATGTTCTCCAATTCTCAAAATGTTCAGGGTCGAGTATTAACCCCAATTGATTACAAGCTAATTGGGCATGTTGAACAGTCCATGATCTGTTACAGACTGTGCCCCATTGTTCAATATCATTATCTATAGTCCCTAAACGAACTTCCAAACGGCCAGCTAAAACTCTATCTGATCCGAATTCGTCAACTAGTCGAATATTTCCAGAACGAGGTGGTTGTCCCAAAGGTTTGCTTGTGAAGAGAATGGGCTGTAAAGGGCTACTGCTGGTTTCTGTGCGAAGAAGTTCGCCCTACAATTATTTAGATATTAGATATTTAGATATTTTTTGTTGGGGATATTTTCTTGACCTAGGATATACTAAACATAATTTTCACCTGTACAAGCATTCCAATACCTCCCATAAATTCAAATGTTGTGCCTGGTGCTAATGTAAGCTTAGCACCAGGCGTAATATGTAAATCATCAGTTACAATATACTTTCCAACAGGTAAATCATTGTTTTCAAATATTGTTCCTCCAATATGGAATGGTTGGCCAGGTTGTCTAAATGGTCGAAAATATTGTTGTAGAAGTGTGAGGGAAGGGGAACGTTGATTGCAAACTGCTGCATAAGGATTAATCTTTAAAAGAGGAAATTTTTGTAAAAAGATTAAATTTTTAATCAGACATCAATCGAAGCCAAAGAGTAGCGATTAAATTGGTCATATATTCTGTCCATAAATTTCTGAGCCGATGGATATCCCCAATTGTTCTCTCGTGCATCAATTCGTTTTGCATGTTCTGACAACTCCGTTCCAATATAAAAATAAATATGTTTATTATTTTAAGATAATTTACTTTTTTATAATTTACTTTTATAACAAGATTAATTATTAATTGAATCTTTAAATTTTTAGTTAAAATATCTGGTCATGTAATATGAAGATGCAAAACTTTGACTTTTGGTTTTACAAAAATTTTGCGAATTGGGATTCTAAAGTTAAATTACAAACTAAGAATTACGATCGTCAAAACATTAAAATTTAATGATTCTAAATGTTAAATAATCCTTAAAAAATACATGCTCCATATTTTAATCCTGGGTAATTATTGTTTTAACCTCTCGACGGAGGAGGAAATTTAATTATCTGATATGTATATGGTATTGTAAATAAGATAGACTATATTTTTAATTAAATATTATTTTTTACTTCAAAATCTGCATTAGGATTTCCAAAACAATTATGTCTAATAACCACATTACTAGAAGAAACAATTAAAGCAGCATATGGCGTTGAACGAGGTTTTAAAAACGGAAAGGGATTAATAACTGTATTCTCTCGAACCTTTAAAAGTAAATAATTATTTAAAAATATTTATAATATCCCATTGACTTCATTTTGTTGATTAAATAAAAGAGTTTGATCTTCGGCATCTTCATTTAATCCAATAGAAACAATATATTGTCCAATATTTCTTTTTATGTCATTTTTTGAGATTATTACCTAAATAAATAAAATTTTAAAAAATACTTGATAAAATATAGGTAATAATGATATTTGTATAGGAACCTTATGTACTATATTACCTAAATAGAGCCACATACATAAGGCCATATTACTCACCTACCTTCCAAAGTTTTCAGACACAATTTTATAAAAATTTTTAATTTCAAAAGAATAAACTTGAAAACAGTTTATTTTAAACGAGTAAACTTAAGTTTTGTTAAGAAAGTGTATATAAGAAACACCTAAACTTGTGTAGACTTTCAATATAAATTAATTTCCAATGTATGTACCTTTGCAGGCAGCCTTTGTAATTGAGGGTGTTTTGCATTTCTAATAAGTAATGCCGTATTTAATATTCCATAAAAACGATTACTATTTAATACAAGTTGAGTATTCACACAAGGTTCCATTCTAAATCCCATTCCTGTACCTCCATAAATTGAATTCTAACAAAATTATTTTTATTTTTTTAAAATAAGATTACCCCACTAATATCAACACGCATTAATTTATTTTCTTCTTTTTGACAAGAAAATATTTCAATATGTGGATGATAATTATTTACATTAAATTCTGTCCAACTAATAAGAATATTTGGTTCAATTTTTGAAATATCCCAATTTTTGTATTTTAATGAAGGCCCACAAAAATTGCCAACAAGAAGCCCTCCCCAAGCATTTTCAGAAATTGTCATTTTTGGATAAAAAATATTATTAATTGGCCGTCCTTTAAAAACAATTTCTTGATGTAAGGGCCAAAATGGGCTAGAACTATTGTGATGGAAGGCAAAACCTTAAAGAATAAATTTTATTTTTAAAATTGTTTAGAAAGGAATTGCCCCTAATTGTAATAATATTTGACTTGACAACGAGAGTTAAATAGATAATAATGGACCATTTAATTGGGGGAATTAGTACATGTGTACTTCCACAAACCGTTGCTTTTCTTATATTTTGAATTTTGTCTAGTTTCATAAAGTGATCTTTATTTTTATTATTTGTTTAAATACTTAGAGATTGGACAAAACAAAGCTTTTGCCAAATTAGACCATCTTCTGGGCTTTTTTATATAAGAATTTTCTTACCTCTCCATTTATTCCCAACAATTCTAGAAGCATTGACATTTATTGCCCCTCCAGCAAAAGAAATATTAACTCCATCACCCCAATTCCAGCTAAAAGAAGTATCATTAATCCAAATATCAGCAGCTCCATCCCTAATTAATAAACCCGCAATTCCTTGATTTCCATCAACACTAACGTTATGTAAAGCTAGTCTATCATGAATAGCTAAAGCTTGAATCTGAGGAATTAAATAAAATGATAAGCAAAATTAATTTTTAATTTTACCCCATTTCCAGTATTATTTCTTACAAAACTGTTTGTAATATTTAACCCGTAAAATGCTTTTAAATTAACTGTAGCATGTATCCGAAATAAAATTTCAACATCGGCAGCAACAACATTTGGCGATGTTATAGAAATTCCACTGAAAATTAGAAAAGTTCAAGGAAAATCCAGTAAGAGCGAGGTAAACGTTTAATCCCGGGCAGGCTTCGATCCTGCGACCTCCTGGCAGTTTATGCTATGCGCTTTCGCTCACCACGCACAGGTGCTCCATCAACTGAGCTACCGGGACGCTGCTTTCACTTTTTTAATAGATCTTAATCCACCGCCTAGTGAGCGTTTTAAATGCTAGCCATTCGGATCTTTCTCTTCCTTACAATACTTTATGAGATTAAAAAAATTTCCACTATGTATAAAACTTAAAATCCCCCAATGCCTCTTATTAATAAAAGTAATATTAAATTAAAATCTCTCCAAAATCCTTACTCTTTATTAATATATTCTTGTTGTTGAGGTATATATTCAATACCAATTAGCATTGGATTTCCATTACTATTTAATGAAATACTTTGAGGCAAAATTCCATTTAACAAAGGAAGGCGGTAACGTTCAAATTGGCAAAGCATGGGAAATGTTGAATTTCCATCACAAACAACAAAAATTGTTTGAGCATCAGAATTAAATGAATGGCGATTTATTACATCCAAAAACTATATATAATTTAAATTTATTCAAAAAAATTCCTTTTACTTGAATTGTATAAGCATAAGGTAATCTATCAGGTAAAGCTACATTTAACCAACATATTTTTGGCTGTAAACTTCTATCAGGCACTGAAGTACCATTTTGTAAATGGGTAAGTATAAGGTGTGGAAAGAATAAATCCTTGGGCAATTGATGAATTCCTGAGCACATTTCCAATCGGGGCTTTTCACGAAATGAAAAATACTTTCTCCCTTGATCTTAGAAATTTAAAATATTTCCAAAAATATAAAATCAATTCTCACTTAAATGTGGAGTATTTGAAGAAGAACCCCCTCTCTCCAAATCTTTCGCTCTACTACCAATTCCAATCCCCAGAAAATGTTCAGAAGTAGAAAGAGCAACATGTCGCTGCCTATACCAAATACCATCTCCATGATTTCCATCTATTTTTGTTTGATTAACAAAAACTCTCCCATCCAATGTATCAATTATAACAATTCCATGTCCTCTATTTAATGTAACTGTTGAATTTGCCAAAATAATAGGCCCTTCAGGCTCAAAAAATTGAATTCCATCCCTAGCACTTCTCTCAACTCTAAGTCCATTCATTAAAGGAGGAACACCCTCAATATATAGAGCAGCCGTTGTATTACCACTAAGACGGTCATATCCGGCAAATAAAATGTCCAAAAATTCGAGTCGTGAATGAGATTCTTTTTGTAGGGCAACACCGTCGGGGTCAGCAGGAACGTAGCCATAAGGTGAATGAAATATGTGAAGACCTTTTTTGAATTAAAAATATAAATTTGGGGTTTTTAGATAAAATTTTTGATAGATTATTTTAAACAAAGGATTTCTTACCTTTCCAATGCTTTGACCAGCCACGAAAGGACGGCCGTCCCCAACAATAAATGCCAATATCATCCTCTCCCTGACAAAGATTTTCGGAAAGAGGGATTAAATTATGATCAGAAAATCCCTTAAGATCATTAAATAAATTTTTATGCTAAATAATTTTTTATTTATTTACTTCACAATCCCAGAGATTTTTAGCTTCAGGCAGGCATTTTGGTGAAGGCATAACAAAAGGGTAAGTATCATTATTTCTAACAAAGAATCTCCAAAATCCACCATCCTCATACCCCAAAGAACGGCAAGCAGTGCTTGTATCAATACTTGTCCAATTAGTTAATTGAGTACAGACAGAACGCCAACGATCTCGAAACTTTACTTGAAGACGGCCTTGACGAACAGTTGGGCCGTCAATTAGGCGAAAGTCGGGCATTTCAAATTGATATAAATGCTGCTCTTGGTACGGAAGCATCTACATGTTAATTATTGAAATATTTAATAGTGATATTCGGGAGTTAAAAAAGCCGAGAGTCGACCCCGAGACCGAAAGAGAAAGTCTTAAACATCAGTAATATTTAATGTTAAACTGAAACTTTATAAACAGGGGCTAAATAATATAAATAAAGGAAAAATAATAAATCCTTCTAGTTAGTCAGTAATGGCAAAATTAAAGTATATCTCATATCCAGTAATAAAGCTTAAGAAGATAGACCTATTTAGTGGAATATGTGGCGACAAGACCTAGTTATAATTTAAAAAGCTTAATGAGTACAGCCAGCGCTTACAATAAGTTCATACTTCTTTAGATATCCTAATTAATCGTAATTTCCCATTTCCATTAAAATAATATTTAATTCACTTGAATATGAGCAAATTCATTTCCGATAGCTTTAAGTGTCCCATAAACTTTCATTCCAACACCAGTATCAAAATACATTTGTACACCAGTTTCTATATTCATTGTACAACCAGCGCTTACAATAAGTTCGTGCTCAACACTTCAAAAAATCTCTCAAGTCTTTATTTAATTCAAAACCTACCGATAAGGAGAATTTCTAAAAAATAAAGTTATATTGCCTGAATAAAGACCGCCCAAAGTATTTTTAATTGGTTGTCGAGGTTGTTCTAATCCCTCAATTAATTCGGGTTGTTGGCTTTTTATTTGGATTATTATTGAAAAAGTTGTGAGTAAAAGGAAGTAAAATTTTGATTTTAATGAAAGACAACAAAGCATGATAATTATTTAAGTGTTATAATTAAAGTTTTGAGCCAATTAAAAGAGAATTAAGAGGAGATTAAATGTTGGTTAATAGTGGATATATTTGGATTAATACTAGAAGAAACATGACAGAATTAGGTAGTAAAAGCTGCCCTAAAATGTTGCTTGAGTTCTAATAATTAAAGTTTTTATTTAATTAAAATCAAATTAATTATTAAAAATAAAAAATATATAAAATAAATGGACTTTTAGATCAGTTAAATAAAAATAATAAATGAAGTAATGACGCATAGCAAGAGTTGAGAGTGAAAAAAGAAGGGTTTGAAGCAAAGGTAGGTAGAAAAGAGAGAGAATGCTCGACTGGCCAATGTTTGCATATTTGGCCGACCGATAAAAAAAATATTTTTTTGTTTGTCTTCCTATACCTTTTGTAAATAGAAATACTATTATTGGTACTTTATGGATATGTCACCCCCCCTCCTATTTTGAGTCTCAAAGTTTTTCTTATGTGTAGAAAATGGTCAGAGATTATTTTCTTCTCCGTTCAATCATTTTTTTCTTCTTCAAGTATTTTGCTTTTTTATTTTGCCTTTTCACGTATATTTTTGAATTTTGTACATACTTCTCACTCATTTTGTTTCCACATTTCACTCATTTTGCTTGAAGAAAAAAAATGCTTGACATGGAGAAGAAAATAATCTCTGACCATTTTCTACGCATAATGAAAACTATGAGACTCAAAATAGGAGGGGGGTGACATATCCATAAAGTACCCTATTATTTTTAAATCGCCCTTTAATGTTAGGGTGCCTGGGCATTAATTGAACAAAAATGGAGAAATCGATTAAAATTAAAAAAATTGACAGGGCTGGGCGAAATCAAAAAATAAAATGCGAAATGCGAAATGCGAAACTTTTTTTAAAAAAATAAAAAGCGAAATGCGAAATGCGAAACTTTTCGCGCCAAAAAATGCGAAAAATGCGAAAGATGCGAAAGCGAAAGCGAAATTAGTTAAGGAAAAATTCCGTCATATCACCCGGAAACTGATTCGAACAAATGATATGTCATTCGAAAGATCTCGGCGAGCTGAGTAGAACGGCACCAAAATTAGCTGGGGGACTCACCTATGGACCGAGATATTGGTCCTCGAAAATTGAAAAACCATAGGGGGGACCAAGCACTTTTTTGGTGTGAAAAATTCGATTTTTCGAGTGTTAGCTCATTCGAAAGAGCTCGACGAGCTGAGTCGAATGACACCAAAATCAGCTCGAGATCTTGATTCTGAGCCAAGATAAACAGGTTCAAAATGGTCAAAGTAAACCTATGGGGCGTCGGCGAGGCGCTTGTGCAAAACTCCGCGCTTCGCGCGGAGTTTTGCGGCACGCGCCTCGCGGGGAGTCTACGGTCGCTGGGTTCTGGGTTAGTAACTTAATCCTATTCCTATCATCGATGAGGTGGGCATGCCCGGCTTCCTCCGTAACAGCAAAAACTTCCGCGAAGACCATAGGTAAGGAGCTAAAATAAACGAACATAACTTTGTCAAATCAAGTAAGTTTTCGTTGATTTTGGTGTCATTCGACTCAGCTCGACGAGCTCTTTCGAATGAGCTATTATTTGCATATTCGAATTTTTTACCCCAAAAAAGTGCTTGGTCCCCCCTATGGGTTTTAGATTTTCGAGGACCAATATCTCGGCCCATAGGTGAGTCCCCCAGCTAATTTTGGTGCCGTTCGACTCAGCTCGGCGAGATCTTTCGAATGACATATCATTTGTCCGAATCGGTTTCCGGGTGATATGACGGAATTTTACCTTAGTTAAAAATCCTAGAAAAATTTTGGACATGGTATAGTATACCGGAAGCAAAATTTCGATAAGAAACACATAACATTCGATTTGCCTCGGCGAGCTGAGTCGAAAGATACCTCACTCTATTCATGAAACTGCCTGTCAACCGAGATAATGTCCCGAATATCGAAAAAGCATTGCAGGTTCGGGGCATTACAGGTTCCGATTCGGGATCGGGTCATTATTTCAAATCCAGATCCCGATTTCGACCAATCCTGCTCCCGTAGTCGGGACCGGGATCAGGGTCGTTATTCCAAAATCCCAATCCCGATTTTAGGTCGGGATCCCGATCCCGCTCAACTCTATTTAGAATATGAAAATTGCTCTACTCGTTTTCCATTTTTTGCGCCGCAAGCGAAAATTTTGAGAATTTCAGAGTCCTTGAGTCAGATTACTTCTATTTTCTGCGCAGCAGGCGAAAATTTGAAAATTCATTACTAAATTAAAATTTTTAATGTTTTACAGGTTTGACATATTAAAAAAAATAAATTTACAGATTTAAAATCAAAATCAAAGTTTAAAAACATTTATTTTTGGAAGGAAAAATTGTTTAAGTCTTATTTCCTACATCTGGATTCGAACCCAGCCCCAAATTACACCAAAGTGAACGTATTCAGTCAAATTAGCCACTCCACCATTGACCAACAAAAGTAAAATTGGGATAGATTATTGATATTTCTTCCCTTTTCCTTTAAAAAATTTTACGTCAAAATATCTAAAAAATAAAGAAATACTAAATGAAAAATGCGAAACAAATTTCGCATTTGGACCAAAATGCGAAATGCGAAACTTTTCGCACCAAAAAATGCGAAAGATGCGAAAGCGAAAGCAAAGCCCAGCCCTGCTATTCACCTAAATAATTACCCTCCCTAATATTTACTCTCTCCATAATAATTACTAGTGTTTCACCGGAACCGAAATTTTGACCGGAACCGGAACCGGAACCGGATCCAATTTAAGTTCCGGTTCCCGGAACCGGAACCGGAACTTTTCAAAGTTCCGGCCCGGAACCGGAACCGGAACCGGAACTTTTAAAAAAATTTTTGCTAGCACATTTTTAAAAATTTTTATTTTAAGTAGGGGTGCGGTTTCGCCAAATTTTTCGATTAAATTCTGCCAAATTCTTCTGTTAATCGAAACGAAAAAAAATCCAAGTTTAGGAAGACCAAATCCCCAGCTATTCAATCCCTGATATCTACCTTGCACAGCTCATTCCCTGGACATCACACCCAAATCCCTCTATATTACCTATAGCCCCTTGAACTCACATAATGTAACTCAAAATCCACTTTCATCCATCCAAATCCTTCGATTTACCATACAACTTCCCTTCATAGCGCCGCAGGCGAAAATTTTGAGAATTTGTGTGACCAAGTAGCTAGATTTCTTCCTTTTCTGGCGCCGCAGGCGAAAATTTTGAGAATTTTGGAAGGCCAACCGAGGAAAATATTGCAAGGCCAACCCATATTTAAAAAAAAACCAATCCTTAGGGGTGTAAAAAAGTTCCGGTTTGCCCGGAACCGATTTGTAAACCGGAGCCGGAACCGGAACCGGAACCAATTTGAGTTCCGGTTCCCGGAACCGGAACCGGAACCAAAAAAACACCGGAACTTTCCGGAACCGGAACCGGAACCGGAACTTCCGGTGAAACTCTAATAATTACCCTCTCCAGCATATGTTGAAACAATAATTACCCAAAGTAATTATTTTTGTAAATAAATACTTAACAATAAATGATTAAAAATTAGAAAAAAAATACAGTCCATTCTAGCAAATCTTTGATTAGTTTAAAAAATATGTAGACTTTTTTAATTGAAATTTTACACAAAAATTTTACACCAAAAGAGTTAAATAAAATTTACAAAAAAAAAGTTAAAAATAAATAAAATAAATACAAAAATACAAAATTAAATACTAAAAAAAGTTTCAATGACGGGGGGAGGGGGGGGGGGTACAACTTTAATTTGTAAAATAATTTGGTTGCTTCAGTCTTGAACTTTTTAGAATTCAAAAAATAATTTAAAAATAATAAGAAATGACAGATTCGTCAGGCTTTTTAGTTAACACAAATTTCTTTTTTATTTACATCTCCATGTTAATATTCAATATATTTTTTTGTTACACTGTTAAAAAATCCATTTAAATCTTCATAAATCCAATAAACCTTAAATTAGAAATTATTAAGAGTTTTTTATTTAAACTTTTTATATTAAATGAGTTAGATCCAAAATTAGTGAAGGAATATATGAAACATAAACTGAGAGTTTAGAAGCTTATTGTTTAAAAGAGAAAACAAATCTAGGAAGAGATTTATGCAAATTCTCTTTTATCCTCCCTATATTGACGAGAATTCTATCCGGAATCCTTTTCCAGACGGACTAGATTGTTCTAACTCAAAGCTGGAAACCGAAAATTATCAAATTTTTCGGTTAGGAACATCTGTTCGGAATAGGCTAATAAACAACCCTATTCCCAACTCTATTAAATAAACATACTGTTTTTAGAATAGTTTTATTATTAAATTCCTTCCCCTTCAAATTTTCAAACTTAAGGGGTCTTTCTTCATCTTCCTCTGACAATTTTTCACATTCTTTTAATTCTTCATTGTTTAATATAACACTTGGTTTTAATTTATTTTGGACAGTATAAATAAAGTAAAGTATTATTGCTTTATTTTTTATTTGAAAATAAAGTCCATTCAAAGCCTTCATTAGTAGTATATACCAGAGTTTTAAAACATTTTTTAACAAAAATATTTTAAAACTCTGGTATAATCAGTTTAATAATGAATAAACATAATTCAGTAAATAAACCTTTTTATTAAACAATTTAGTCGATAAATTTGACCGAATATATTCTAAAACGAGTGAAAGTTTTATGTGCAAACATAATTTTTTGTTTCTATTCTAAGACATTTATACAATTTATTCGATAAATTTGACCGAATATAATCGATAAATTTGACCGAAATAAGTTTTATATAAATATTAAAAATTCAAACACTATTTTTAGTTTATAAAAAAATACCACAAATAATAAAATACACGTGGAAGTATATATAAAAATTCCTGGAAAAATAGAAATTAAAGTAAAATTATAAAACATTCTTTGCAAAACAACCCTTAAAATAAGTGTAATTAACATATTTAAAATTCACAGATTATTTTTTATTTTTACTGAAAAAATCCACAAATATTGTAGCTGAAAATAAAGTAAATGTTTTAACTTTAATTATGGTTTATCCATCATCAATGGTAAACCATCAATACCTTATCGATTTGGTAGGTTCCTTTTCGAACGTACATTGGGGACTTCACTGAAGTTAAAGGAACTTTTGGAGAAATTTTGGACCCAGTGGGAATTCCCACAGGAATATGACTGCAATCTGGCTTTTATTGGAGATCCGGGCAGTTCCTCAGAGTGAGACCTGATATGAAAATTAAGAAGTTAAAACATTTAAATAAACAAAATTAGGTTCTTTGAATTAAAAAAAAATAATATTTCTCATTACTTTTAACTTTCATGTCACCTCTCACTCTGAAAAACTGCCCAGATCGTTCAATAAAAGCCAGATTGCAGTCATATTCATGTGGAAATTCCCACTTTGTCCAAAATTTCTCCAAAAGTTCCTTTAACTTCAGTGAAGTGCCCAACGTACGTTCAAAAAAGGAACCAACAAAGCGGTATGGTATTGATGGTTTACCATTGATGATGGATAAACCATAATTAAAGCTCAATGCAGGATTATGTTGCTGCCAGATAAACACACAGATTTCTGAGTCATAGCAACTTTAAAATAATCAAAATATTAATCATTTATCAGACTTAGTTTTTATCAGAATTAGTTAACAATTTTAATAATAATGTTCAATAATGCTAATAACATTTTAATATAGGGATTTACTTTAATTTAATTTTAGATTTACTTTAGTACTAATTTATAAGACTTATGTTATCGTAAATTGCTAAAATAACTATTAGATACATTTTAAGAATTTTTAAATAAAAATTTTACGTTGGCATTTTTAAATTCAATATTTAATTAAAATAAATATATCCAACAGAAATTACAAGTAATCTATAAAAACAATAATTATAAAAATATTTTCAAAAATATTGAAAAAATTTTAGGGATTTGAAGACGAGTTGTTTCGAAATTTCGATTTCCGTTTTCGAGGTTATTTTTCTTTCGATTTTCGATATTTTTGGATTTCTCTCGATTTGCGAAGTAATTTAGTTTTCGAAACATTTCTGATTTTAAGGAGTAAAAGAGGAGGAAAAATATATTCAAAATTTATTTGCAACTTAATAAATAAAACATAAAAAAATTTATTTGCAACTTAATAAATAAAATTTAAAAAAGTGAGGAAAAAATTTATTTGCAACTTAATAAATAAAATTAAAAAAGGGAGGAAAAATAAATCCATTAAAAATCGCGACAATTAACGAAAATAATTGCAAAAAAAATAATGTAGACTAGAAATGGTAAAATTTAATAATTGCACCAGACAAATGTAACATCAAAAATCAAAAAATATAAAAAATAAAGTAATTATAGAAATTTTTTGTAAAATAAAGTAAAAAAGTTTTAAAAATTGAAAAAAATAATGCATTAACTTTTTGTATTATAAAAATACATTACAGATAATTTTTAATACAAAGTAAAACCTGAAATAAAAATTGCATTACCAAAATAAGTAAAATAAAAAGTAATCACCAATACAATTAACTAGACAATTCGACTGAATGAAAATTATAAAAAATTCTAAAAATTTTAATAAATAAAAAACCTGAAATATATCAATACAATGTGTAAAATACTTGTCACTAAATGATTAAACAATAATTGGCAAAAATATTAAAAAAAGAAATAAAAAAATATAAAATCTGGATATATAAATACAAGGTTATGGTGTTCTAAATACGATTTCACAACTTGAAAATATTTTACATCTTCAATTATAAGTTTAATCTTTAGCTTGTATTCTCTTTTAAAGATTTTTCAATTTGCATTGATGCCTTCCTTGTGCTTTTATAATGGCGAACAGTTTTTAAATGAAGGGATTTTATGTATTTCAGTTCGAATTATATGCTTTTTATTTAATTCAGTTATGAATTATTGGCATTTCTGTGCTTCAGTTTTGAATTAAAGCATTTTCTGTGCTTCAGTTTTGAATTACTGGCATTTTCTGTGCTTCAGTTTTGAATTAAAGCATTTTCTGTGCTTCAGTTTTGAATTACTGGCATTTTCTGTGCTTCAGTTTTGAATTATTGGCATTTTATGTGCTTCAGTTTTGAATTAAAGCATTTTCTGTGCTTCAGTTTTGAATTATTGGCATTTTATGTGCTTCAGTTTTAAATTATTGGCATTTTATATGCTTCAGTTTTAAATTATAAGCATTTTCTGTGTTTCAGTTTTGAATTAAAGCATTTTCTTTGCCGCAGTTTTTAATAATTATTTTCCGTATTTAATATTGTATCGAAGAATTTTTACATTTCAATTTGCTATTAAAGATTTTTCAGAGACTGATCTTCAAACAAACATTTTATCATGGCTATCAGTTGCAAAATATTTGGAAAAAAGTAATAAAGCATAATAATTTAAAAAATTGTTTTGTAGGAAACGTATTAGTCTTGTAAAAAAGAAAGCAATAGATACACGAAAGAAGATAGGTAATTACATTGGTGGATCAAGTATGCTTGAAATTGTCAAAGGTCAATACATGTATTGCGAAATGTGTAGTACAACCATAAAAAAATGCTTTCTGAAGCATGCTTACAGTCATATTATAGAGGCTCTTTGGCGTTGTGCTTATTGTGGGGAGGTTTTAAACAATTATAAATATATATTATATAAATTTTTATGAAAAAATAGGGCTCAAATGAAAGAAATACAGTTATAAGACATTGCAAAGAAATGCATGGATCAGATAAACCACCACTAGATGCGCGTTTTCGATTGTGGGATAAAATTAAAGTAAAATTTTTATGCTTTTTTTGAAAAATTTCAGTATTTCATTTATTTTATAAACCTAAATTTTAGCATATCATTCAAATGTGTTATCCGTATAACTTTATTGATATGCCTGAACCGAAACTTGAAGTAATAAATAAAATTAGATCTTTAATAAATAACAATAACAATAAAGGTACTTCACAATCTTCAAAAATCATACTTCACATATGCTACACAATATCATATAGACAAAGCAAATAAAAAATGGAAAACCAACAATAATGCACAAAAGCAGAAACAAGATGACAAAAAGATTGTAAAACGCGTACATTGGCATTAGATGTGCCATATTTTGAAAAATAGAAACAAGATATTAAAATATTTTTTAAAAGGTTAAATTTAAAAAAAAAAGGTAAAATTTAAACTATATTGCTCCAGGTAGTGAGAGATACCGGAGTAATACTCTATGACTAACCATATTTAAGATACATTTCACCCGATATTTGTGATTAAATATAAGATCCGACTGTAATATAAAATTAGAATAAATTTCAAAATAATTTTAAAGTGGACTAAACTTTTTCCATTAATTTCGTTTTATTCAAAATTTATAGTGAGATTTAAAAGTCAAATAAAAAAATAAAATCTAAAAGAAGTGACAGTTTGATAATAATTTAATTTTCAAAGACAAATATTAATTAAAAAATAAAAAACCCTTCATAGTTAATTTGTGTGGATGACCCTCTTGTTTGTATATATTTGTATCTTATTATTCAATTAGAAAATATTACTTTTAATAAGGAAGTCCAATAGAATTAAGTGCAGACCTGTTCATTAATTATCTAATTATTATTAAAAAAGAAAAATATCTTTAAAAAAATTTTTTTGAAAACAATAAAACCTGAAAAATGTTTAAAAATATACTCGAAATACAATGTTTAGAAACGTTATAAATAGTCATAATATTATAAATTGTTTTTGATAATTATACAAAATAATCGCAAAAACAATTTAACATTCCAATATCAATACTAGGGTTTTAGCGGCATAAATATTTTATTTAAAAGCTTCAATATCCCGGACACCACTTTAAAATATTAGTAATTTCAGAGACCAAATATTTTTATATTGTGTATTAATCTCGAAGATAATTATGTGGGTTAGAAATTTTCTAAGCAAACTAAATTTTGAGGCTTAAAAATTTTTCATTTTCACTACTGATTTGAACAAATAATAAAAATAATTTCCACTAATAAAATAAATTTAAATAATATATATATAATATAAACAATATTTAATTAAATGTCAGAAAATAACTGAAAGAAGAAAGCTTATATAAGACACAATTTATTCTTGAGTAAAAAAGCAAAGATTAAAAATGAAGGAAAAACTAGATTTAAAATAGTAAAAAACACATCAAATTCAATAAAAGCTTTAAAAAATCCATCAACTTTTATTTTCGAAAGATTGTGCAAAAAAAAACAATTATAAATTATGTATTTGTAAAAAATTAGATGATCAAAGATTATTGCCAAATATGTTTTCTGAAATATAAAAAATTCAAGTCAATTAAAAAAATTTTTTATAAGGTACCAATGATGAAATATTTCTCAATAACCTGCTGTAAACTTGTTGCAATATAAAACCTGTTTTAAAATTTTGAGCCTATAAAAGCCGAAGGTTTTCTCTCTGCAAATTCATTCGTTTTATTCTTCAATATCTTCTGCAATGATTCCTCACATTTACCCCTTAATC